CTCCAGTTTGGTAGTAACGGGGCCATCCCTATGAGTTCCAGATGGGTACCTTGGTTCTTGGACTCTTCAAGGCTGAAATTGCACAGGCAGCTTACTTGGCTCAAGCGTTATGGTGGGGAAGGAATAGCACCTTGTTTCTCTCTCGTATCTCCTATATCGGAGGTTCTCCAACTTCATGGCACCATGACCCCCTTCTGACAACAAAAATTACTACACGACCCCAGGAGGGGGGGGACCAAAGGCTGAGCCCACTCAAGCTCTGCCACCCTGGGGGTGCCAAAGCCCTGAGACTTGGGCTTTGGCCCTGGGCTGTGCGGCTTGGGCTTCGGCCCTGGACCCCAGCAAGTCTAAGCCAGCCCTGGTGACCCTATTAAAATGGGGTTGTGACCCACTTTGGGGTCCCAGTCCACAGTTTGAGAACCGCTGTCCTAGATTCTTGAGTCCTCCCCTTTGGAGAGAGGGTATGTTCCCATTGTTCACAAACTTTGAGCCTGGATTAGATATTTATTCTCCAAACTGGGTTAGTTGACAGCCATTATAGTTGAACTGACTTAGATCAAGTGTGGAGAAGCCACAAGCTCAGCGTTGCTATTAACCACCCTCCTGGGACAATCACGCTGCTGCTTATTAATGTCTATAGGTTAAACAGTTTTAACCCCCTCCTCTGTGGACCCAGGAATTGGCTTACCTAGCTGTTGAAAGGCTGATGTAGATGCAATTAACTGGTTTAGTTAAATCAACTTGGAGGACCGCTGCATTGTAGGAAGATTCTTTCCCAGGGGTCGTAGCTGTTGCATCATATTTGCATAGCATGCATGGAACAAAAATAAAACTAAACACTCTGTTCTTCTGTTTGTATTCAGTTTACGTAAATGAGTCAAAAGAACTCAGGATAGTTTGGAGAAGCACTGACCAGGAACGGTCCAGGAAGTGATGAGGAAGAGAGAGGGACTTGTAGTGTTATCTGATGCTGCCATCAGTGTACACTGGGAGACTTTTGTGTTGCTTTGCAGCCGTGCATCAAAATTTTTTTTTTAAAACTCAAGTGTACCTTTTATTGATCTAAATTCAGCCACAAACAAAGGTGAAATAAAGATAGTTGTGTGAAAGTTTCTGTGTTGTGATGGTTTATAAAATATTAATTCCCTGAGATGAAAGAGGGATTTTGATTTAACTTTAAAAACGCCTGCTTTTACAATTATCATGCTGTTCTGAGTAATCACTGTACCCTTTCCTTCTTCACAACCACTATCTTAGTTTCACAGGTGGAATGTATTTAGGGTCCCAGCTGGGCTCATTTGACGTCTTATATCTCGCAAAGGTGGCTGCCCTAGTTTAGGTGCATGGATCAAAATGCAGACTTTTGTGGGTGCTAAGCACTTCTCAGTGGGGCTAGGTTTCCAAAAGTGCTGACCTCCAATTTAGGTCCCTAAATATAGTGGTCAGATATTCAGTATGGGAGCTGCATTTTGTTTTACATCTGGCCCTTAGATTTCATTATTCACTTCATTTACCTAAATATCTGGACAAAGGGATTTCAGCGCAGAGTTACTAACTTTTACCTCTTGGGGGAGACAGGAAAAAGAAATGAAAACTAAATTTGCAAAGCAGAACGTGAGCTTGTCACATTTTGTTTTCAAGATGTGTCCCATTTTGCAAGCAAGAGTCAAAGTCTTGTCAGCTGAAATGTTTCAAAATTTTTTACAAATGTACAGGAAATATTGGATTTCTTTTTGCGTGTTTCTGGTGGGAAAATTGTCTATTTGTGAAAGTGTGATGGAAAACAAAATGAGTAGCAAAATGAACGCTCACTAACTGAAAATGTTCGCACCGTGTTTCTCAAAATCATGGCTTTCACACAGCTGTTAACTTTTAGTTTAAACCAATTACTTCCAACATTTTTTGGTGCTGTGACTCTCTTGAATCACTGCAGCTATTTGTTTTATACTAGTTTCTAGAGTTCCCAGTAGAGATCAAGGCACCATTACACTATATTCTTGTGAAAACACATACAGTCCCTGCCCCAAAGAGCTTACCATCTGAATAGATTAGCTAAAGGGTAGAAGTAAGGCAACAGATGGAGAATTGAGGCACAGAATGCTTGAGTGGTCTAGAGATCATGGCAAAGGAGTGTGGCAGAGCCAGGGATTTGACTCAGATCTAAGTCCTGGTGTATTATCCTTTCTCCCTCCTCAAACACTGGTTGACTTAATGAAAAAATCAAGGCCTTTCTATGTGTCCACAGGTTGACTTTTAAATATCGTCTGCATCAAATTTAGTATTAGTAGTTCCTTTTGCTGGAAACATTGACATGAAATAATATAAAAGATGCAAAAGACCTATTAAGTCAGGTCATTCCCTGCAGATGTGGGATACATTCCTTATCAGGGGGTTTATATCTGATGTTAAACGAATACTTTGCTTCATCTTAGCCAAAAGGGCAAGATGCAACAGCGGGAAGTAGTGAATAAACTGTTGGGGGAGCGGGGAGAGTTTTCTTCTTTGAATCATTAATAGCGGCAGGTGAGTTCATATATAAAAGTACCCTTCACAGGTAAGAATGAGCTATAGTGAAGGGCCGTGTGTACGCTCAGGGTTCTGTTACGGTAATCATAAGAGCAAAGATTGTTAATTCTTCTGGTCAAATTTGCAGTTGCAAGAGAAACCCATTTGGAAACCATTCTGGAACTGTTAATGACTGAGTCATTTCACAGATGTGAATACAGTTTATCAGGGTTAAAGTGCTGTAAAAGTAGGGTGGTTTTCTCACACTCTAAAGTGAACTGAAATCTAGTTTTGATTGAGACCCCAAATCATTAACAGAATTGTGTATATTAGACACAGCTGAAAGCAAGATTTGACCTCTTTTCTTTCCATGCGAAGATCCAAGGACAGAGTTGTTTCTCTTGCAACTGTTTATACATTTACTAATCTCTTTCGGGACTGTGTGCTTACCAGGGGATGTGCTATTAGGCTGTATCCATTTCTGACTGCTATTATCTCCAGGTATCACAGGGAGCTGTGCTTTACTTACACTACTTTAGGTGTTAATATTGCTCTTTGGCATGGACAACACTGAGATCTTGGCAGCCGAAAGCTTTTCAATTCAGTTTTTGAATGCATCTTTATCAAATGAGCTACAGCAGTCTGCTCCTACGTTATAGCACAAGTGGCCTTGTTTGCCAACACACAAAGAAGATGTTGGTTGCAGGGCTCATTTGAAAATCGGGCCCCTACAGACTAATCTGAAGTTGAGATACTGCTCTTGCATATGTACCACTAACCATTCTCCCCTGATAGCTGCTGGACTCAGCAATCGTTTTGAGTCTCTGGAAGATACTTTACTTTGCTTTATGGGTGTCACGTGTTGTTCCTTGACACTGCATAACCCAGGGAATTACTCTTGCCTGGTTAATTGTGGTTAAACTCCTATCAGCACTAGATCATTAAAAACTAACTACAACACAGAAAGTAAGATACAATAGGGCTTTTGACTTCAGGTGTTTACAGCTTGACCCAGCCCATCCTACCACACTTATGCCAATATAATCAGGGCTTTTTGGTATGAGTCATATAAAAACATCTCAGTGCTTCAGAGCCAATTCTGGTACTTATGGGTCACAGAGCAAGCTGGTTATGGAGTTACAGCAAAATTCTTATTGTTGGAGACAATATTTCTTTTGCTGCTCTGGCCCATTGTCCTGCTTGAAATGAAGTAGAAAGCAGTCTTACACCTTGCTTGAAAAGGCAGGCAATGGGGTTGGTGTTTAATTAGGTCACTGCCTGTCTTTTTACATCATCCACACAATGGGTAACAGCAGGGCTGTATAAAGAATGCCAGAAGATCTACCCTCTGTCTCTGGGTAACCGAGCATAATGCATTTTTTCTTATTTTTCCTTGGCTTTGTTTCATGTTCCTTTAAATTTAAAAAAAGAGGGGGAGGGGGAATTTAATTGGTGCAGCTATTTCAGTAAATTGTGCACCTCTGATTTATAGAGAAGTCTCAACACTGAGTCTTTCTTTTGATGTATGATAAAATGCGTCAAAGTTGGTTTGATTAGAGCATGGGAAATTCAGAACTAGTGTCCCTATTAGTTTCAGACCTCCTGCTGCTAGATCTGGCACCTTAAATAACTTCATTTCAGGTTCATGAGGAAAACACAGGCTATTAAACGTTCCCCTTTTTTGGAGGCAGCTGGTTTCCATTGAAGAAAAATGTGTATTCTAGAAATGTCAAGTCTCATAGTCTTGAGGGAATTAAATTGTAAGAGGAAGAGCTTCCTCGTAGCAGGTGGGAGGCAGTGGCAGTGGGGCGTGTTTATAGAGGGAGATAAAGGCCATATGTACATTGGAAATTTGCCCTGTTTTCAGACACTGGCCTAGCTTGTGCCACTGCAATATCCTAGTATAGACTAGGGAAATGATGAATTGCACTGGTGCAGCTTTACCCTGGTTTCAAGCAGAGGGAAGCCACCTGGGCACAAATGGGGCTTACAGTGGCTTATCCTGTGTATGCTAGAGGTTTGGACTTGGCAGTTTCACCAGTAACTGAAATCCCCAGTATAGAGAAGGCCAAAAAGTGGCCTTCAGCAGAAGAGCATGCCGTCATGTTAACTGACTATTGTCAGGGCTAAATGACGGGGTGGAGGTGAGTGGCTGGAAGCATGTGTAATGATGCCCTGTGGGTTCATCTGTGGGGGCTGAATGGGAGACCATTGGATCTTAAAAGCAGGACCATTCGCTTAAAGGCAGTAAGTAACTGACTCAAACATCTAAATCTGATCTAGCTGCTAGAGGGAGACAGAGGTGGAGTATTAGCATTGATTACACTTGGATGTGGAGTAGGTGGGCAGTTGATGTGGGATGAAGAATGCAGGAGGTAAATAAATCCAAGCAGTGGGGTAGGGTGTAGAGGGTAGGTATGCTTTTTGCAAGCTAGTGCTGATCAGCTGGTTTAGTCTGTCTATTGAAACTGATTTTGTCTCCAACTTTCTTTCAGGGTTTCCATGGTTCTTATCCCTTTGGACAGTCTTAAAAACAAACAAACAAAAAAACGGGTACCGTCAAGAGGAGAATTTAACAAAGAACTGACTCATGGGGAGCAGAGTGGGTTTCTTATGGCTTATAGAAGACACGGCATGGATCCCCTTCTCTGCCTTCGTAACCTGGATAAAGAAGAAAACAAACAAAAACCAATAACTTAAGACTAGTGGTTTCCAGAGGAAAACAAAACAAAAAACTAAAGTATGCATGTGTGAATGCTGAATTTTAGGAGTGCTGTTCAATGCTACGAGAAAGAAAATACACCAACACCATGGGGTTTTTTTAGAGGTCATTATCACAATTAATTAGGTAGCTGAAAAAGTTTAAAAAAAATTAAAATGAAAGCCATCTTTTTAAAAGAAAAAGAATTATTTTGCCTACAGAGCAGTTATAGTTTGAGCAAATGTTTAATTTTTTTGTTTCCTGTTCATAATTTTTTTAATAAGGGACAGAGTGCATTTTTATGGAACTGTCTTGTTTGCTTGCTACAGAACGGGAGCTCGCTTAGCATCTGGGTTCATGCAGTGACTTCTCTTTGTATCTATGTTGGATGTTTTTAATGTGCGATTGGGCCAGCACCCAGCTCTGTCAATTTCAGTGGTATCAGCTGTTTTTAGTTATCAACCTTTTAATCTTCTGTTTTGTCTGTGACCTTAGTGTTATCAGAAACCTCAGTCAAGACCAAACTGTTGAATTAGGATGGGAGGACTCCAGCATTGAGTTAACCTGGGAGGTTCATTTTTCTCTTGGAACTTGAAATATACATACACGTATTTCAGTAAGAAACAGGCTTACAAGAGTTCCAAAGCTGGTCCTAAATGACTGGTATTTTAAAATGCTGTTTTGTTTGTCAAATATTGATGTCCAGTAGCTGTGCCTAGGACAGCCAGGCAAGTGTATCTGTCTTGTGCCAAGAGGAAATTAACTTTCTGTAGCTGTAGTTCACCAAACAGTAATTATAAAGTTATACAAAAGCCATGTCCCTTTAGGTTTAAACCTCACATCCCTACCCTTTTTATATAAGTATAAGTTTAATTCCTCTCTCCTGTGATTAAAGTACTAGCTTAAGAGGCAGAGGCCAATTGTTTTTGAATGTAGATCAAGAAGTTGAATCATCAGCTGGATTCCACAGTAACGCCTTGTATTCTTTCGCCTTTTTACTGGCCTGTAGCTTCTTTGAGGCTCTAGCTTTCTAGATGGGTCTCATCAAGCCTCCTGTTCAGAAGAGGAAGAGTTTTTCTGGACATGAGGGTCACTTAGCTCTGAGCATCCTCGGAGGAATGATAGCCATGTGCAAATGAGACCATGCAGAGCAATTGTGGAGGGTGGCTGAGTTCTGTTTCACACTTTGAGGCATTGGGTCACTGTGAGCCAAGCAGCCCAGGTACTTGGGAAGAGAATGGGTTTTTTGCAGGGGAGGCACTGATTCAGAAACTTGAACCAGGCCGTAACAGCCATCTGCCAAAGATACAATAATATGCAACGTCTCCCATCATCCTTCTCCAAAAACCCCCATCCCAAACTACCCATTCATGTTGGGAGCTGAGTGTGGGGTATGCCTGCTGGCGAGAGCGATGCAAGGCTTTAGGCTTGCCTAGTTTGCACCCAAGCCCCAGTGTTTGCTTGGTTGACTTAAGCAGGGTTTCATTTTCAGTGCAGTTTCCATGGGCCTTTTTCTCCCAGGCGTATGGGTAGCTCCTGTTGAGGCTGGTGGGAATTGTTGGTATCCTGCCAGGGAAGAATTAGGCCCCTGGTGAGGCATTTGGATACTTGTAGTCTCGAGATCCCAGTGAACAGCTACCCTGATATTGCTCCATTAGTGGATGTTTGATAGTTTAGTTGTCTATTAGACACTGGATTTCGAAAGACATGTTCCCTTTTAAGATTGAAAATTTCCCTTTCATCTCTCTCTAAACACACAGGTGGGGCTGGGGACAGGGTTGTAATGGATCGCCCCTTGGATGAAGAAGGTCGGGGAGATTGGAGGAAAGTCCTGCCTGGCTTATACAGCTCTGGTTGGAGTGTTAACCTGAAGGCTTGTGGTGGGATGGCTGCTTGCTAGACTCGGAGAAGGGGGTGCAGATCCACGTTTGTGCTTTGAATGCAGTGTAGGAGGTGGAGGCCGTATTTGGTTAGTTGTAGTCGTAAGACCCTGTATATGTCTTGTAAAATCTCTCTTGCTGTGGGCAAGATATGTTATTCACCAGCCACAATTAAGCAAGTGTGTAAACAGTCATGGTGAAGTGTGGGCGAGGTTTGAACTGTCGTGACGTGCATGCAAGGCATGAGCACGTGCACATCCAATACCCAGCATGTAGCACCTCCCCCGCTTTCCCCCCCTGTGTGTCCCTTCTGGAAGTGTTGATGTTAGTCAAAGTGACATGGCTGCTCATTGGTCTCTTCACATCCACTTCATCCATCTGTTTGTTGTGTAGAGGAGGAAGGAGTTCTGGGTTTCTGACTGCTGCTGCCAGTGGGCCCAGAACTTGGCAAATCTTGTACCGGCAGGGGCCGCTGTGCGACCCTCAAAGCCAGCTGTCCTGACTCCCATTTTCTCTTCTGCTGTTCCCAGGCATGTAGGCTTCACCCAAGCAAACTGGCCACGTTTATACCCGCCTGTCACTAATGCAGATTGTATTTTGTTCCTTTTCCTAGAGAAAGCTAGTGTGCACCCCCCATTGTTTCTGTGCCTTCTCCGTCCATTCTGCACAGCTCTCAATGTTGTCTCCTTTCTTGAGCGTGTCTCAGTCTACCGTGCCCTTGTGATTGGGTTGTTCATGGAGTGAAGAAAGGCAGGGCCTGATTTGAGCTGCAGTTGCAATAGGTCAGCCTGTTAACACTGACATATTACAGCTGTTTCCTAGGAAATTGGTCTGGAGCATAAACACAACCCTTATCAGCAGGGAGGATCTCTCTATAAATAACTGCAAAAGGCTCATAACTGTTTCAGGGTGTTGGTTAGTGTGATAATACTCGTGTGATAATGATGGGAAGATGTTTAAATTGGTAATTAATCTGTCTCTTTCTTCTCTCCACTGAAAACTGAGTCCCCTGGTATTCAGCGATGCACCCAGTCCCCAAATTTAAGCTACTATTAAGTTTCCAACATTTTCAAGAGAGGATTTCAGGGAAGCTAAGCAAAGGTCTCTGCTAGTCATAGTTGGGGTTGAAATTGCACTGCTTTCCTAGGGACAACATTTTCAAGGTTTTTTTGGGTGGAGGGGGCTAAAGTTAGGCACCTAAACCAAAAATAGTCAGATTTTTTTCAGAAGTGCTGAACACCCAAGTTTCTCATTGATCTCAGCAGGGAGAACCTCTGAAAACCAGACTGAATTACATGCCTAATATTAGGCACTCAAGTTTTAAAATGTGATCTAGGACTCAGAGCCTCAGCAAATGGTTACCTACTTGAGACTGCTGGGCAAGGGAAGAGGCCCAACAAAGCTTGTCCTATGCCATGTTACCCAAGCCAGGCTGGTGTCCCTGACTTTGGGAACAAATGAGCTGGTACCCACGGGTCTGAGACAGGTTGTAGTTATGGAGGGGCTGCAGTTGGCTATGGGCCCTGCCTTTCCCTGGCTGCTGCTGTTGTGGGGAGGACGGTCTTGGAGTCTTGAGAGGGCAAGGCAAATGGAGATCTCTTCAAAAAAGGCAGTTAGAACTTCCAATACATATTTGTTTTTTAAATGGAACCTCGAGCGTGGTGTGAGCTGTTGAGTTTGGAAATGCCTGCTAACCCCTGTGTCTCACAATGTATCTCAAGTCTGGGTTGCAAATGTATCCTGTCCCATGGCTGGGAAAGCCTGGATAAGCTTTGCGCCCCTCTGGCTGGAAATGTGCTTTGTACCTGGGAAGGGGTGTCTAGCCTGCTTTGGCATGGCAGAGAGTATCTGCTGCCCTCTGTCTTGAGGGGTGTGTGTGTGTGTGTATGTGTGTGTGTGTTTGTGGGGTGGGGGGAAAGAATGCATCCTGAAACCTCCAGGGTTTGGGAGATGCCTGAGACCCCATAACTGGGGATGCAAGTGCAATCCCAGACCCCGTGGGTGTGAGCATAATTGGAGTCTGCAGAGCTAGGAAATACACACTGTCCCCTGTTTCTGTTGGTTTTTTTTTTTCTTGTGTGAGTGAGTGGTTGGTTCTGCAGCCTGTCTTTATTCCCTCTGGGGGGAGTGCATGTGTAGAACAGGATGGTGTGTTGCCTCGTTGAGTCTGGGAGAAGTCTGATGATAGCACATGGGGGTAATAAAAAAAAAAGGAAGCTTTTTCCTTTAATGTATAAATGAATATTTGTATGATTAAATTAACACAGAAAAATTACCTTCAGCTGTCTATAGAGTGTTTTATTCAAGGCGCGAATGATTTCTAGTCTTCTGTGACCTCTGCAATGTTTGTTAAATGCACCTCTTTTGCTTCCATCCCCAGATCATTGGGGGTCCCGGGCAGACATCAAAAGTGTGCTGTAAAACTCAACGGTACCTCTCCTTTTCCCATGAATAAATTTTAAGGAGAAAATTTTAAAGGAAATAAATAAATTCAGGCTGCATTAGATGCATGAAATAAAACAAATTCCTTTTCCAGTCCAGATATACATACCAACAAGAATAAACACTGGAGGAGGGATCATTTAAAAAAAACAGATGGTTTCACATAGGAGTTAACATGAAAAAGACCTGTTAGAAAGGAGCCCTGATCCTGCAATCTTTTTCAAGCAGGTAGATCCCCGCTCAGGCTCCACATGGATACAGGGTGCCTATGTGGGACAGCTTACAGAATTTGGGCCACTACTTTTTTTTTTTTTTTTTTTTTTTTTTTAGGGTGCTAAGGCAGATGCTATGGGGAGAGTACCTTCTCCTAGTGGCCATGAGAGCAAAAGCTCTAGGACACAGTGACTTCAGAGGCAAGGTTGGACTTGGGCCGTCACTAGTCTCTGCCTGTGGCTTTAGGAAGTAGAGATCCTCCCCAAATTCTTAGTGTAGATCAGGTTTTTGTTGTTGGGGAAATGGAGGCTGCAAAAGATGTCGAGACATGGATAAAAGAAGGTGGCGAAGTTATGGTGGGCGACCTGTCTTGAAGTGCATGGAGATACATATTTCCAAAAGCCTATGGTAATATTGAATGCAAAGCCTGCTGAAGGATGGATTGCTGAAGGCATGTTCTTAACCTCTCCAAGTAATGGCAGAGGCATGGTGCGACAGCTGCAATAGACACACACACCCACAACGTCCCCATAGCTGGGGTCCTCACAACTGATCCGTTAGGGCAACAAAATGGTTTGTGGCTAACAAGACGTTGCCACAAACAAGCAGGACCATGTAGGGGTGTCTCTGCGCTCCATCTTACAAAGGGTTGGTGGCCTTTTCCTGGCAAAGGTGATGTCTTCTGGTTACATCAGTCTTAAGCTGAAGTCTTTGAGTGATTTTCAAGGGTTAGCCCCAAGCAAATCATGCTTTGATGGCCCAGCATAGCTGACAGTGGTAAGCACTCTTACAGCAAGTACATCCAACCTCTTGGGTAATTGCAGAGGGAGGTGAAGTGGGGAGGGAAGGGAAGCAGCATGAGCCACTAGCTGGCAATCCAAAAGTAGTCGTGGAAGAGGTGCAGAAGTCCCAAGTTGATAAGCCTCTTTCATAAAGGGTGGGATATACTCCACCAGCAGATAGAGCGGTCAGAAACTCAACCAGTTCTAGTTGCTTTCTCCCCCTTCCAACCAGCATTCCTCCATCTTCTCCCAATGACCTGTTACTGCGGCTGATGCATTGACTTGAAGGGAGATACACTGATTTATAGCACCCGAGGATCTGACCCATCAAGATTCCATCTGCGTTGGCATTTTGGCTCGTCACCGAGAGAGGAAGGAAGTGTGTGTGAAATTTATGCATTGTTAAGGCCTATGGACAATAAGAGAGACAAGGTGGGTGAGGTAATATCTTTCATTGGACCAACTTCTGTTCATGAGAGAAACAAGTTTTCGAGCTACACAGTTCTTCTGGTCTGGGAAAATGGACAGTTATGACTGTCTAGACTGACCTGCATCATGCAAGCCAGAGAATCTCACCCGTTGAGCCTAATGCTCTGCCTATATAGAAGAGCAGTTTCATTGGAGCTATTCACTTGCTTACCTGTGGTTTCATTATTAATCCATGTGAGAAGTGTCAGTGCAATTTTTTACATTTGAATAAGTGCCTGGAGCTTTTATGCCATTTAACCTTGTTTGAAAGTTTTGCTGGGAACAGACATCCTGCTGCATAGGCCCATAGCTGTTTGTTCTGTGCCTGGAAATGAAATGAAAGGGGTGCTCCAAGGTATTTTCAAATTCACTCTGTGTTTGGCAACACAGTTTACAGAATTTAGAGAGGTTCCCTCCCCACCCCCATCCTTGCTTTTCTTTTCTAGTTATTTGCTTGAAATAATCTGTTTGTCTTTAGGGCTGCAACCTGTCAGGAGTTTATCAAGGCAAGACAATCAGATCACACCTTCATTAACGCACTGTCTTTGGAGCAGGACAAGTAACTCGGGCAATTGCTATAACGCAGATCATTTTAATGAAGCAGTATGCCATGACGCATGCATGGTGGATCTGTGCTGCGGGTGTGGGCAAGGCTAGTGGCCAAGGCAAATAGTTGCAACAGAATCAAGTATAAATTAAATTTTAAAAAAGGGACCCAGGTACTATTTTATCATCAAAACTGACATTCACATTATGCATTGTTTAATCCAACCTTTGTGCTTCAGGGTATGAATTGATAGCTGCAGTGGTCAGGAAGGAAATCCCCCATCTCTAGGTATGGTACTGCCTGGTGCATTACTGTGGGGTAAGGGGACTGTTAGCCTGAGGAAACATTAGTAATTGCTAGGGGGTAAAGTATGGGAATTGAAGGATCAAATTGCTATTCCAGGATGTCAAATTCTTTTGTGTCTCTGGCTTCAATCACCCAAAACGTTACTCTTGCAAATACCTCTGACGGGGAAGGGTCGTTGCCATTATGGAATGATTGCAGAGTGAATGCAAAAGTTTTGTCGTAGTGCTTTGTGTCACAGCAGCCCTGGGATCTGCTCGGCCAAGATAAACTACACCAAAATCCCTCCCTGGAGTTAGAAGCTGCAATGGCTTAGCAGACTGAAAGGCTGCCTGGGGTCACAAGTGAAAACTAAAGTTGATGTAGTTGTCATCCTAGGTCCCTGTTGTTTTTTCCTCATGACCAAGTAGGTCACATTTTGGAGGCAGATTCTGAGCTGGTATAAATGGTCACACTTCTATTGAAGTCAACAGCCTATGACAGCTTGCTCCAGCTGAGGATCTACTCCTTGATGCATATTCAAGAGAGGTCCACAAGTGGAAGATCTATGGGCTTTGCCAGGTCAGGAATGAAGTGACTTGACACCTGTGGATACACTTGTAGTGTACATGTGTCCAGCAAGTGCTATTATTCCTTCAGTTTCATGACCACTGAGGTTTCTTTGGTTAGTTTCCCATTTTGCCAATCTCATGTCATTTCCTGAGTCAGGGGTCCTGCGGGAAATAGAGTATGTGATGGTCCCTACTTGATCATAATGGATGTGCACAAGGGGGCTAAATCAAGATTACACAGACCACCTTAATTTTGGTATCTAACTTTCGAATGTTTGATTCTCCAACCTTAATGTTTTCTTTTAACTTTGTTTCTTGGATGCGCTCTGTCTGTGTGTGTGTGTGTGTGTGTGTGTGTGTGTATATATATATATATGTGTGTATATATATATAGTTGTCTATAGCTCCTTACCACTTCTGTGATCCATTTATGTTTCTTGAATGAAATGGATCAGCTGGGAAAAAACCCTCCATTAAATAGAAGTGACTTGTGAAAATCTAATGTTAAATGTTCCATATTGTGTTCATACAACTACTGAGCTTAGTAATGGAAGGAATCTTGACACAACAGGGGAAGCTCTGAGTGAGGAAGCAGATGGCACCTGAGGGTAAAGAAGTAGCATCATTATTCATAGTGCATCTATTATGGCATCAGTTCTTAGCACGGAAGAGTGGCATGATCTGTTTCATCCCTTGGTAACTTGCCGGCAAAAGGCAAAATTAAGTGAGGCCGGTTTAAAAGGTGTAATTAAAATAATGCAGATGGCAGTACATGTCGTTCTGTTACCACAATACTTTATATTCTTCTATCACTCCTCATAAATCTCAAAGCAGTTTAGAAAGGAGACTCTTGTTATTCCCCACTCTATGGATGGGGAAACTGCAGAACAGCAACATGAAATGACGCAAGTGTTGAGCTCTGATCGTTCTCAGAGAAAATACTTCGCATGGGTCTCCCCACTGCCCCTTGCGTTCAGTTGCCTTCTAAATGGAGCTGGGGCTTCTGACAGCGGGAGAGTGATGCCAGGCATAGTTAGCAGGGGGACAAGCTAACAGGAAGAAGGGGTTGAGCACTTGTAGTTCCCACGGATGCTGGAATTTTGGGGTGCTCAGGCGTCAGTGATCACTTCTGAACTGAACTGACAGCTGAAGTTAAGGAAGGGCTGAGCTCTGGGATTTACTCACAAAACAAGGTAGCTTGTATGGGGGGAATGGAAAAGAACTGACTGGGAATAGCACCAAGCTCTCCTGAGTCCCTTTCTAGTGCTGCCACTTAAGTTAGTTTTTTCTGTCTCATGTACATTTTAAAAGACATCTGAAATCAGTAGGGGGAAATCTTCCTTAGCACAAATGTATCTTCGAACAGCTTTTAGCACATCCACAATTGGGTTTGTGGGTTCCTTTTTTGTTCCTCTTACATCCTTCCCACAGGCTCATTTAACTGAATTTCTGTCTCTAAAGACATTTTCCTAGGACTTCTGAGACTGAGTATTGTTTGCACACGCCCCCTGTCGCCCCTGCCGCTGTCTTTGTAGGCTCAATTGCTGATTGCTAGCCCTATGCTGGGAACATGGTCTAGTGCTTAAAGCATAACACTGGGGTGCAGGAGACCTCTGTTCTCCTTTCCCTGGCTCTGCTATTGCTGTTCTGTATGACCCTTAGGAGGTCACTTTCCCTGTCTCTAAAATGGAGATAATTCTTAACCTTAAAGGCCAAATGTGACAGTGGTTTGTTAATCACGTTTTTGAAAGCATTATTTCTTGGTATTCTGGTACCACCCACAGTATGCTGGGCTCTGTTCTCAGACAAAGGAGGACAAAATCCTTGACCTGAAGAGCTTGCAATCTAGGAAATCAAGACCTTTTAGTGATTTGGGGCATGGGACCTGGAGGGGGTGATTGGCTAGGGAAGTGAATGTGGAATATTTGTCACCAGTTTTCTGTAACAGGGATTAAGAATTGAACCATTT